TCTCAATGTTTCTGTATTCTCAATGTTTCTGTATTCTCAATGTTTCTATATTCTCAATGTTTCTATATTCTCAATTAACAGGGTGATAAATATTTTGGAGTTGGGGGATAACTCAGCCCCAGAAGATCAAAATTTCCAAGACAATTTACGACAAAAGAATGAAGTTTGTTACCAAAGGTTTTGCCCCACAACAGAATTATTACAAACAAGCAAGCAGCAAATAGGACAAAATATACAGTATTTTTTTGTGGTTCAATTAAAAAAATTAAATATCCTAGTAAACCATCATTTAATTTCCCAGAGGGTTTTTCCTGCAGGCTCTCCCAGCTCTGATGGTACTCACTGTGGCCAGGTGTAATACCCCCAGTGTGTTTTCTCCACAAAACAACAGGATTCCCAAGCTTCCTTGGTCTTTGGCAAGCTCTGGCTGTTGTAGTGCAGCCACTGGTTGTCGGGTCTGTCCCCAGCCTGGATCCTGGAAGGCTTTGGGCTCCCACCTGCTCCCATAGGAATTTATTCAGCATCAAACTTGCCCATTAACAGTCCCACAAAACGTTAGTGTGATTTACTAAAACATTCTGAAGAGCTTTTGTGTCCCACTGCCCCGAATCTACAGCCTTAGGAGACTGAAAGGAACACCAATGGAAGAGATCTCTCTATTAATTTATGGGATTTGAAATTATTTAAAAAAAAAAAAATCAAAAAGGAGATGTACAAATTCTCACAAGTGACAAAGCTTTCTGAAAGGAGAATCTCTGAAGTTTTAACCCACTTTTAAGAGGTGAATAGCTGAATATACACCCTTGCAAACACAGGACTGTTTAAAAAAAAAAACTCTAAAACTGAAAAATTACCAATTATATACCTGTATAATTACATTACCTATATAATATATACCTATTTGTTTAGGACATTAACCACAAGAGAAAAAATAAAAGCTTGTGATTCTATGTTTAATTTAACCAGAAAAGCTTTTTGAAACGTCTTAGGATAAATGTAAGACGTTGCTTATATTAAATAAAACTTACTTATTTCGTAAGGGCAGATGGGCACTTTCTTGTGTGTTCTCTTGAGCTGCTTGAGAATCCCAGCCACAGCTGAGATGGCCACCTGAAAGGAAGAAATGGCCATTAATGTACCCATTCCACACATTTCCCCCCACAAGGATGTGGCTCATCATCCCTAAAAACCCAGTGAACGATGGAGTGAACTTGGTCACAGCCAAAAGGAACCAATCCTGGTTATTTCAGGGGAAATAACATGACTTTATAGCCCAGAAAAACCTCCCCACTAATCATTTGAGTTTAATAACTTTAATTTGATGTTGTTTTAATAATGTGGGGGGAGGAAAAAAGGTTTAAGTTTCGAGCCTCACCGAGGCAACAACGGAACAAACAAAACACACAGAGATGGCTCCCTTCAAATAATAAAGTGCAGGTGGGGGGAAAAAAGCAGCCATCTGCAAAAGAAATTCTGCAATAAATAAGGAGGACTGGCTCCATCCCACACTTTTCACAGTTTACAGACTTTACATATGTCACAGCACAGCACTGCCAAGGCTCGTCTCCCTGCACGAGGAGCGTCGGGCACGTGCGCGGCTGGGAGGGGGAGGAGGAGGGAGATCCACCCCCCCTTTTTGGGCTTTATCCCTAACCCCTAGGAGCTGCAAGGCAAAGGAAGGAAGTTCTTTGGGGTTTTTTTACCTTCCTGACCACGATGGCATCGTGGTTGAGACACTGCACGAAGAACCTGATGGCCCGGGCGGGCAGGGGCCGGTCGTCCCTCAGCAGCAGGGACAGGAAGCCAATGCTGATGTGCTCGAACTTCCAGGGCCTAAAAACAACCCCCAGATATTCAAAACACAGTGTTAAGGACCACAGCCGCACACACAAATTATTTTATGTGTTAAGATGATGTAAATACACTTGGACTAACATTTCCTCTGCCCTCTGGGCACACACACAAGTGGCCAACAAATGTTCGAGTTTGTGGTGGTTTGTTCATCTTGGCATTTCAATAAAACACAGACCTACAGGGATGTTCCTTCACAAGCTTTTAAACACAAATATTATGGTAAGAATTAGAACATATTTGGATGTCAGTGTTAGTATTGCACAGATAGGGCTAGAGCTTTGTTCCCAGGACAAAAAAATATAAATGTTAAAACTCCCAGTAACTCCCAGGTCAGACAAATTAGAGAAAAAAGCTTAACTCCAAGATGTGGTGATGCCTCATATTAACACATCAAGCTCCCAGTGGAAATGAATCCAAGACCATGCTAACTGCCCTCCTGGATGCCATGGATATTTAATCATGTAGCCACCCAAAACAACTCTCATGCACAGAAAGGGAGACTTACAGGTTCCTCTGTTCCACACAGTCCAGCAGCATGTTGACCAAGTTCTCGTAGTTCCTGAGAGAAACAGAGGGTAATCATCAGCCAGATGGTACTGAGAGAACCAGTTAAAACAGGACAAAAGCTCCTCAGCAAAAGGTGAGCAAAGGCAAAAAGGAGGAGGCCAAAAGGAAACAGGAGGGCAGAAGACAGAGGCTGCCAAGGAAGGAAGGAAGGATGGATGAGCCCAGAAGACAGAGGTTGCCAAGTCAAGAGAGAAGATACAGCCCACCAATGCCTGGGCACTGTGGATTTCCCATTTTAGCCCTTTTGGGTGACTCCATTTGATGTGCAGTAAATCCAAGGAGCACAGGCTGGTGTGAAGGGAAGCTGAACTCACCGCAGAGCCTCAGCGCTCTTCTCCTTCTGTCGCTGAATTCCCAGCTGGATTTCCTCTGAACCAAGACCTGTGAAGTCTGATTCTGGATGAGCTGACTTTTGCAGCAGGACAGCTGCCTCCATGCATTTCTCTGGGACCTATCGAGGGGGAATGAAAAGATTTGGGACTTCACTTAAAAAGTTTTTAATGTCTGTTTTGAAATAAGCAGAGAGCAGAATTTCCTTGTCCACACAGCCAAGCCTGAAGCAGGGAACACAACCTTTTGTGCCCACACAGCAGAATTATTTCTCCCAAAAATGTGTTTTATTCTATTTTAAAACAAAGGTAAGAATAAATTTTAGTATTTCATTAAGAATAAAAGTCGTTTATGGATTGCTTCTATTAATTAACCCCGAGCAACCTGTCACTTACTGCAAAATCCAGCCCAATGGTCTCGTACTGCCGATGGATTTTCTCTGCCAGGTCATCAAAGAGTCTGACTATGGATGGTTTTTCCAAGGACATGGCTTTGCTAAGCCCAGAGGAGACAATGGCTGGCCAGGTCTGTGCAATGCAATCCCAGTCGTGGAGGTTTGCCAGGCACACCCCGCTGTGATTTCCAAGGAGACAATATAAGGCACCCTGGGAAACGAGAGAGGGAGTTTGGGAAGGTTAAAGCCTTGCTCCTGTGTGACAGCACGGAATAAAAATTCATCTGCAGCTCCCAACTCATCCAAATGTCCCATAAACACTCAGCTATGCGGCCTCACTGTCAAAATAACTGAAGGTTTCTCACAGATTCCTCTTCATTTAATGAGATTGGAAGCCCTGCCAATTAATTTATCCCCAGAATGGCTGATTTCTGAATTGCATTAGAGGAGAGATGATTCACAACTGCTTCATGAGTGCTGCCACCTTGACTGCAGCTCCTCAATTCCCATTCCAGAAGTTAAAAATAGGCCTCAACACCCATTTTGGTGACACCTGAGCAACCAATGGAATCAGGAACCAATATAAACACAAAATTCCTGTTGAAAACAGATCCAACACAAGCAATTCCTTACACTTGTCATGCACAAGCCACAAAAATATTAGTGATGCTGATACAAACAAGCACTTTCACCATTACAAATTCCCCCATAAAGGCACTTTGAAGAGACCCAACACAAAGGGAAGGAGCCAGTACTTTAAATTGCTTTTGGGTGACATCCTGCCGGTCGGGACGCAGGAACTCCAGGACCAAGGGAATGATGTCTCTGCAGCAGAAGTTGTAGGTCCCCAGAGCTGTGAAGAATGCCTGCTGAGCTTTACTCCTGACCTGTGTGGGGACAGAGACATCACTAGGAAATCACCTAAAACAAAACACAAGGACTAAAAAAAAACAAACAAAACCATCCTCATCCATTTCAGAGACAAAATTACTTGGAGGAGGTTTATAAACACCTCACCCTTCTCAGAGCTGACTTTCTATTTGTGCACAGAAACAAAATTACTGGCAGGAGGTTGTGAACACCTCACCCTTCTCAGAGCTGTTCAGAAAAACCTACCTCTTGTTTCTGGCATTTATTTGAGAACAGCTAAAGTTAAAGAATTTTCTTCATGTTGCCAGAAACAAAGTGTTTTTCAGGTCATTTGAAAAGCAAACAGATGGAATAGCAGGTTTAGAATATATAACCACTGAAGAGATCAACAAAACACTGCTCATATTTCAGTTGAAAGGGGCTGCTCCTCACCTGACCATAGGAACTCGTGGACAAACACAGAAGATCCCTGATCATCTCCTGGTGGGAAGTTTTATATTCACAGCCTTCCATCGTTAGTGTTCTCAGCTGAATCCATGGAGAAAACACAAATAAAGGACAGATTGTTTTTTCCATTTCACACATACCAAAGAAACACTAAAGCAGGATTATTGTTATGATGACATTTAGCAAACTGTGCAAATGAGTTTTTTCGAGGAAAGTAATTAGTAAGGATTGAGGGGGAAGAATTACCTCATGCTGCAACATAACCCTGTCAATCAGCAGAGCTCTGATATGTTGTTTCTTTCCTTGAAGCTGTAAAAAAATTTAAAAAATACAACATAATTTGGTTTAGATTTCAGGATCATATCAGCAACTTAGGAACTATTTCCACCCCTCCCCAAAGCTTTACACAGCAGAACCACTGACCCTGTTCTCCATGGATTTTTTCACCAGATTAAAGCTCTTCCATCGCGAATCAAACTCGTGCTTGTGAGACCCCTGGAACTGTAAAACATCACTAATGATCTGTGGGAAGAAAGAGAGGGCAAGAGTGATTATTTTGCAAAACAAGCCACCTTGCCTTAAGCATTACAAATTAAAAGTATACCTTCATTATTAGAAATTGAAAGTATACCTTTATTATTAGAAACAGAGACTTGGTGTCATCTTCTGAATGATCAAGAATGTAGCCTGCAATTGGGAGAGAAGCAGCTTATTATCAGACAGGCAAAGAGCTTTCAAAAATTAACAACGTTTCTACAAAGCTTAAATTTAGGAATTAAAGGCAAAGTAAACAAATTGTCTCATCTGTAAAATCATAAAGCACAACACAGCAGTTTTTAGCTGGAGGAGAGGCTGGACTTACGCAGCAGTTTCCTTGTAACCCTTGCGATTGTTTCTCGGTAATTCTCCCTTGAGAAATCTGGAAGAAAATGAAACATTTTGCCTTTATTATATGATAGCATAAAAAGCAGTTTATAGACAAGCAAACCAAGGGAAAGCCAGAGCAGACTGGGCAGAACTGGCAGTATGGACCATTGCAAAAATAATATTTCCGAGGACGCTGCTCCCATCAGTTTTAACAATGCCCACGTAATGCAAAGAGAAGAATCAAAATTATGGTCTCCAAAAGAACTGCAGAAAAAGGAAGAAAGAAAGAAAACAACACCCAGGACCTGCCTGACCAGAATTAGGATCTACTCACCATAGTCAACACCAGTGTAGAGTTTTGTCTCTTCCAAAGACACCAGGCTTGGGACCCTGCATGAGAACAAACCAAGGATTAGAAATCATTGAGGAGGTGCATTTCACTGCCATTTCATTCATTTTAACAAGTTAAATTTAAAAGTTAGCAGCCCAAAGATATTTGGATTTACTAATAATACGTCTCTGTTGTCACATTTATAAATTAACCACCCCTACGTGGGTCAGACTGTTTGTCAGAGGCAGGGACATATATGGGATATAAAAATAATATATATATATATATATAAATAAAAATAATATAAAAGTAATGACATATGGGATATACAAATAAGTTTTACTTACAGATGAGCCACCCTTTCTCCTTTCAGAGGAGGCAGAATGTTCCCAGAACCAATCAGGCAGTTATGCACAATGGCAAGACTCTGCTGCACATCATCTCTTAAACAAAGAGGAAAACCTGGTTACTTCTCTGTTAAATCCTTGAAAACACACAAATGATGAACCATATCTTTTTTGTGAAGGTTTCTGAAAGCTTTTTTCTTTTAGGTACATCAGTCCTAAACACAGGAGGGAGCACTGGAGGAAATCAAGCCGTGCTCGTTTGATCCAACTTAATTCTATCACAGAACCACAGGACTTTTAACTCCATTTTCTGAAAAACTTGGGAGATTTCACATTCTGATAATTATGATCATAATTCTGGTTATGAGAATTCACATTCTCATTATCAGATAACGAGATCAGCTAATGTGAAAACAGGCAGCTTTGCTCCAAAAAAAAAAATCTCTTTAATAAATTTTATCTAAATCTCAGACAAAAACCTACGAAATAACTCCTCACCCCAAGGCTGAGCCAATTCCTTCCCACCACGGGGATGCAACAATCCGAACAACTTCTGTGTTCATTCAGGGAATTAAGGAATTCCTTTTAAACCCCTCTCAGCTAAAGCAGGAGCTGCTGTTTTTAGTAACCTGGTCAGACAGGAAAATCTGTAGGAATGTGACACAGCATTCCCTGCTTGGCAGCACGTGACCAAATATCAGCTGAGGTATATTTAGCTGCAAGGACAGGAAGGTTTAACAGGAGGAATAAACAGTGCTTGGGATGTCAGGCCTGTAAACAGCTCCAGGGCTCTTTGACACCTGTAAATGCCCCAGCACACATTAAACTCAGCTCTGCACTAAGAATTTTGGGATCTCTTTCGGATTCTCATTTCTGTTTTCTTCCAGCCACGTCTTTAACAAAGTGATTGTTTTCTGTACAATTACTCCAGGAGGACAGGACTTTCTGTAAGGTGGTATTTACACTGGAAACATGGTCTTTGCACATGGAAATCTTTGGCTCCACTGTCTTAAAAGGTTTGCTGATTTCTTGAGGGTCCCCACCTAAAATCAGGACCACACATGGTTTTGTTTTTTTCAAATCTTCACAGATTTGAGGAGCAGCTTCTAGTTGTGCTTCAAGATTCTTTTCTTCAATGAAATTATTCCAGTTTTTCAGCAGTGATTCTACAGACTCTTTTGATCCATATTTCATGTCCCAGATATCCAGCTTGAACATCACCTCGCTGGCAATGGCTGAGCACAGCCCATAAATGGTATTCAAGAAAAGTGCTGGGGTTTGTGAAATGAATATTGCTGAATCTTCTTTTCATTTCCTCTAATTTTTCAGGCAAGGCCAGTGGCATATTATTCTCATCTCTGTTCTTAAATGACTGAAGGGTGTCCAAGTGAGAATCAAAACAATCCATCAAACTCTTTCTTAAGCATTACAATTTTTTTCTCTGAAGAGAGACATTGCTTTAAATGGGTCCTGCAAACCAGGCAAAATCTTCAGCCTGCAGATGTTCTCCCTCCTGAAGCCAAGCCTCAATGCCACCCAGAGGGGAGGGCAACATCTGGGCTAGTAACAAGACTGGGCAACAATGTTCCTGCTGGTGACCTCCCTGACTCAGCTCCAGCCCTGCAGGGACAGATTCAGAGCACTGAATCCACTTCTTCTCAGGGAGGGAGTGGAAAAAGGCACATTCCCAAAGCCACATCAGCCTCGTGTTCCACTGCATGGCTTAGGGACACAAATAAATGGCTGTGCCAAAACAAGGGAAGAGTCCAGAGGAAGGAATCCCTTACTGCTGCCTGCAGTTCAGTGGAATCAGGATCCACTCCAATTCTGTTCCACAATTTGTTTTAAATAACTTGGTAAAGGGTCTATATATTTATTTCTGTTTAAAATCATGCTATCCATTTCATGGAACACACTTCCAAGCTCCATGTATTCTTAAGTTAAAAATCTTGGAGATCTTAGAACAATGTTAAAGTCAGTGCAGCATTACAGTATTTGACTGCTTAATTTTTGCAGTGCCAGTATGATTGTCAATAATCCCTGTGGGTGGCCAAATGCACCTTTTCTCCATCTCACCTGGACATCTCCAGTTCTCCAAGTGCATAGAGCTCCAGCCTGGTGAGCTCAGGCTGCAGGAAAGTATCCAGCAAATAAAAAGCAAAGTTTATCTCCTCGGATGAGGGAACATGCCACTGGATGTCCAAGTTCCACAGGTCACCTGGCTTACCCCAGTCCTATAGGAAATACAGACATTTATTGTTATTCCATCTACGAAACAAATTATGGTTTTAAAAAAATTAGCATTTAATATTAATAAAAAACCCCCTAGTGTTAACTAGCTAATGCTGTAACACAGTTATCCTGACAATTCTAGGAAAAACAATAATGTAAAACCACACAGAAATCCCAAACCTCTACAATGTCTACACATACCTGAAAAAAAAAAAAAACAAACACATATCTGAAAGCACTAAAAGGAAAAGGACTGCACAGGTCTAACTGAAATATAACTTGATTATTCCTTTGACTGGATACAAATTCAGCCACATTCTTAAGTACAATTCAGACTTTTTAGAGTCCCGTAGAGAACATCAAAGTAACTGTGAATTTTTTCAATTTCAGACGAGGAATTTAAAAAATACGTGGGGGTTTTTTGTTTGTTTCATTTTCTGTTGGGGCACCCAGGATATTTGTTTGTTTTGAAATGATTAACTGGCCCAACTGGATGTTCCCAGCAGTTATAAAACTGTACTGGCTTTCAGTAACAAGCACTGGATTATCTGCAGTTGGGAGGTTATGCAAAAGAACATTTTTTCAGCAAAAATGCAGTTGTATTTTCAAACAGGCCAGCTGGGAACTGCTGCACTGTTCATGTGGAACACAGAGATCAACCTCAAATCTTAACAGACAACCAGCACATGACTTCTGACAGCACCAGTCACTTTTAATATTGTCACTTCTGCTTTCATTTATCTTGAGCTCAGCAGAATCACTGTTTATTGATTATTCTGCTGACCTGTAAAGTGCCCCATCTCCTTGCTGTGTATTATTGTAGTCATGCAACCCTGGTAAAACACATATCACAACCCACTGTAAAACTATACTCAAACAACAGTCAGTACTCATTTTTTGCTACTGATATCATTTTAATTAACATGTCACTTTGCTTTCAAAGCATCTTGCAATTACACTTTCCACTGCTGCTGCCTCCGTTCAGAAACCTCCAAATAAAACCGAGCCACACAGCGTATGATTGTTTAAAAAAGAAAAAAAAACAAAAAAAGTCAAATCCTCTAATCCTAAATAAATGAAAATCCTTGCCTTGATAGGAAAGTATTCAGAAAGAGGCTTGTCAAAGCCACCTGGCACACTGCAGTACTCTGTGGGGTAGATAAGTGTAGCAGAACGAAGAAGGTGGTGCAGTAGGTTACAAGACAGAATGTAACCCTGCTTACAGTTCAAGTGGAGGGTGCGCTGCAGTATCTTCCCAAACTGCTCCCTGTACACAAGCAGTTGCTTTCCATCCACACGGGTGATCTGGGAGGGGAGAGGAACATGGCAAACCATCAGTGCTGTTGGAGGGGCCATTCCCCTGTGTCACACTGAACTCAGCTGGAAGGCTGGGCTTGCTCGTGGACTGCCACTGCCACGGCTGCTGGACAGGTTTGAGTGACACAGAAGGGACTGTGACATCCACCTCCTTCCAAATTTCCTAGCAATACTCACATACATTTAAAACTTAAATTAAAAGTACTCATATCTACCAAAAGCATCTCATGTTTTCCCCCTGCATCGATCCCTCTTCTTTCTCTCCCCCTCAATAATTGTATTAAATGCTTTAATTTCATTCCACGTGCACACTGTGTTTCTCTTCTTCAAACAACGGCCACTCACGTCCCATTTTAAGTCAGAAACAGAAGCTGTGCAGCATCATTCATACACTTGTTTTGGTTTAATGGAATTTTTTCTTCTTCTTTCAGGGGCATTAAAGAGGATTCAGTGACACACAAGCACGGGAGGAACATTCTTTGCAATACCTCTGACAAAAGCTGAAGATTCCAAAGCAGCTCCTTGTCTAGTTCTTCATCATGTAACACATCATCATCTAGAGGAACAAGGGACAAGCTCTGCTGTAACCACACTTGCAGCCAAGCTTTCCAAACAAGAAACCAGATCCTTCCACTCCAAAAAGCTGACTCTTAACCCTCCCACTGCATCCTTCCAACTTCCCACTCCAACTCCCGTGTCCAGCTGGGAGTCACTTTAGCCAGTGTAACATCCTGCAACTGAGGAATGTCTGGAGGCATTTTAAACTGCCACATCTTTAAAGGATCACAGCCCTGCAGTCTGACAGATTTCTGCCCTGAGATCACACAGTGGTTTGGTTTTTTTAGACAACACGTTGGATTTTTCCATCATTGAAATGAAGTTGTGGGAAAACACAGCCAAGTTTTCGATGCTGTTTTTACTTTTAAGAAAAGCCAACCCAAGAGCAAGCAAGTAACACCAGAAGTGAGATGAACTTACTGACTGTGAGGTGAGTTATAACGTTGCAGCAGTGGGGCACAAAGAGCTTCAGGGACTCCTCGGGGCGGCACTGCAAACAGCACCACACACAGCCCGGGTTAGAACCAGGGGCAGCTCAGCACACACTCTGATAACAATCTAACAATATCACCACAAAAGAGAGAAGACTAGATTGCATCTCAGCTCCAATTCAATCTACAGCCTGACTTCATGACTCTCGTTCAATAAAAGCTAAATTTAACACGAGGAAAACACTGTGCGAATCAACCCCTTGAAATCTGCCCGTGTGCAACCAGCCAGTTTTAGAAGATGTAACACTAAGAACCACCTAAAAATCAAGATATTACACAGGAAAAAGCAGCAGCACTGGCTTTTTTTCCCTTTTTAAACTGAAGGTGGAGTGGATTCAGAGCGTGTTCTCTCACTTTTACTGCAGCTCGGCACATGTCGGCGACCATCCGACCGGCGACTCTCGTCTCAAATATATTGGAAACAGCAAAGTTAAAAACCTTCTCCAAGGCAACCTAAAAACGAGCACAAAGACATGGAGGTTACTTTAAAAAAAAAAAGAAAACTAGGTATCCCAAAATGTTTGATGTTACTCAGAAGGCAGCGTTTGCACTCTTCTAAAACAGAGGACTGCAATCAGGAAGCACATTTTAAAACAGTCAGAAGAGGGAGAAAGCAGCTCTGTGTAATGCCTAAAATATTCCCTTTGGGAAGAGAGAAGGTGGATAAATCTTGTTGACTAATGTAAGTTTAGGGTGCTTCTGAGAAAGTACACAGATAATAAATCAGTCTCCAAAAGGAAAGCTGCTATTTCATGTGTCACAGGGAAGGAAAGTCAAGACATCCCTTACTTAACAAGTAAATAGGGAATTAAATTAACAACTATTTAAGTGCCCAGCATGTTTTAAAGCAGCTTATTTCCACCCAGTACCTTGCAAGGCAAGCTGAATTATACACAGTGTGGATCCCATGAGTACTCTAATAATGAAAAAATCAGGGAAAATACTAATTAAATACTCAATGACAACGCAAGAATTAACTGAAGGTTTACATTAAGCAAAAGATTCCAAACAAAAATCATATCAAAGTACCCAGTGCAGTGGTTCAAAATGCACAAAACCTGGCATCTCCAAAAAAAAAAAATACTAAAAAAAAAATATATATGAAGGCAGATATAAATGTGTTAACCCAACCTACAAGGAAGGAACCTGTCCACGTAACAACACGGATGCTCCACCCCCTCTCTCTGAGTTATTTTAATCCAGATAACTTTGCTGATCCCATTATCCAACAGCTCCTTGAACAGCTTCTTTTGCCCAGCTGCAGGAGTGGAAGGGAGAGGGAGAAAAGGAAAGCAGGGGATTGGGTAGGTCAGCAATGATCAGGACGTGAAAAATCACAACCTGAACCCACAGAGGGATAAAATAAACTCTCAGAATGACTTCATCATCTGTTTGCCAGGGAGCACAAAGAACCCAAGAGCTCTGTACTGATGAATATAAATACAGTTTTCCTTTCCCCCCCCCAGCCCTTTCCTTGGTTAAGTGTGGAAGTTCACAACGGGAAGAATCCCAACACCCCAGTTGTCAAAATTAAGCTGCTTCAATCAGAAGTTTACACACCTTAAAGATGTCCTTTGAACACTGGGTAAGGATTGTACTGAAAGTAGAGGAGAGCCCCAGTTCCACCAGACTCTCCAGGTGAGTCATCTTCTCAGTCTCAGTCTCCTCTCTGGTTTGTTCTAGTGTGCTGCTCTCTATAAGTCCAAAACACCTACAAAATGCAACACAACGTTAGCAAGTGAAACTTGAAAGTCTGGAATCGAGTTCCTTGTGCCAAGCTTTCCCCTCTCCTCAGCTCACTCACCTATCCATGAACTGCAGCACGAAATCCTCAAACTCAGCAGATGCAGAGCACAGTTCTCTTTCCACCTGCAGTTTGCCACCACAGAAGAGACACAAGAGGTTGGCTTTTCTCCAGGAAACACAACACAGGACGTATTTCCTACATGAACTACTTCAACACCCCCTCCAGTGTCTAAGTGAGAACAGACCACAGCACATTTCCCACTGCACAGGCTCGAGGACACTCCAAGAGACAATTATTGCACGTTCCTTGCACTGTCCTGTCCCAATTTCCTGGCCTGGAGGTGTATCCAAGGAACCTCTGTGGTGAAATCAGGTTTGGCTCCATGCACACAACCTTTGGCCTTGCTCCAGGGGGTCACTGAGTGCCAGAGGTGGGGACAGACCTCACCTATATTCACATTAAACCCTCAGGGTACAAACCCCTTCTGATTTTTGGGGTGCTGCAGCTCTGGGGCAACGAAACCCACCTTGTGATCTGGGCAAAGTGCAGCTACTGCTGCTCTCTGAGCTACAAAAAGCCTTCTGGGAGCAAACAGGGGTGGTGATAAGGGGGATAAGACTCACTGCCTAATGGTGTTACTATCTCTTGGCTGGAGGGGATTAAAAAGCATCCCAAGAGAAAGTTATAGAATCTCAGTCAGGAAAGGGAAGAGGAAGAGGTGTTTATTTAAAGAGCAAAACAGCTCTGAAAAATGAAAAAAAACCCCACCCTAATGCACTATTTAAAATAATTAGCAAGTTGGGGATTTTTTGTGTGTTGTTTTGTGTTTTATGGTGACAAGGACTTTCAAAAAATTAAGAGTAACAAAGCTATTTTAATACAAAAATTTACATGGCAAGTGACCTCTGGAGACAACACAGTCCAACCTCCTGCTCAAAGCAGAGTTAAATGACACTACACAGGGCCCTTGAGCAACTAGGTTTTGACATTTAAATATTAAATTGCATGAATTAAACATTCCCTACAACAAGAAATGCTCAGAAGACACGATTTGCACACTGGTATCAGCTCTGCCACGCTGCCCAGAAGCAAACATGATCCATATCTTATCACACACTGCTAGAAATTCAATTGAAAACTAAGTGATGGCTTTGTTTTCACAACTTACCTCTGAAAGATCATCTCTCTCTTGCAATACAGAGGAACAATCTACTAAAGGCACCAAAGTAGAAAATGTTGCAATGAACTGGAATGTGATCTGTTGGGAGTTGCAAAAAGCTCTTTAGTGTATTGTACTCTACACATTAAAAAGCTTTTGTCATTTATAGGAGCTAAAGCAAACCATACTAAAACCAAAAATACGCCAGAGCCCAAATCTTACACCCCAAAACTTCCAACAGTTATTTCAGATTTCATAGACAGAACTTACTAGTCAGCAGTGTACAAAAATTCTCAATTTTCTAAGTAAAATAACCATTATTTTGTGCCAAACTTCAAAGTTACAAACCCCTATAATGTTTACATTGTTTTAAGTAAATTAATACGAATTTCTGAAGGTGTGGACTTTCAGAACCTAATGTAATGAAAAGCTTATTATATAGGTCTTTCTTTTGATGTTAAAAGACTAGGAATATTTGTTGGGAGCTCTGGAGCACCTACTTAATCTTGTGGTGCAGAGCTGCCCAGAAAGTCAGCACAATGCTTATCACAATCACTTTGCACCGTTCAGTGAGCCAAAAGCACTGTCCCAAATTAGAGGGCTGCAATATTAAATTTTTATACATAAAACTGTGCAGAAAAAAAAGGCTAAGAAATTCTGGCCACACGAGAAACATAAAAATTTTTCTCTATAAAATACAAGAAAATATGAGTTGGTTGGATCACGATCTTCTTAAAAAAAAAGGAGATATTTCCCCACTCACCATACACTTGCTGAAGTCGTTGGGATCCACCCCGGGCAGGGCTCTCATGAGCAGAGGTAGCATGTGTGTGGGACCCTCGGGGAACCACCTGCCCCCGGACACCAGGCTCCGAGCCACCCCAATGACACAGCTCAGGGTGGCCGTCAGCTGGTGGGGCTCTGTCAGGGTCTCCAGGGCAGGGTATGTTCTGTAAAAATCCAGGACAGTCAGGTTAGGAAGGATAATGTCACAAAGAAAATAAAAGTTTTCTGCAGAAAGGGTAAAAAAAAAAACAAAAAAAAAGGAAATTCTGCATGAAAAATTCAATCTCAAAGGTTCTGAAATGGTTTTCTCATTGTTTTCCAATGGACTCGATGCTGACCTGTTACCAGGCTCCTTTCACTTGATCAGTGCTATCCACCAGCAACCCAGGGTTAAATAATCAGTGCATGGGCTCCTACATTCAAAGCTACAATGATTTCCCTGCTGGAACCTGAAGTGCACAGCTTGCACCAGCCTCAAGTGTAGGGTTCTTGTGGCAAGCACGGAAACGTGCCCTGGCTGCCTCTGAACAGAGAGGGGATCTATGGCTTCAGGTTACACTGAAGTCCAGACCTTTCTACCAAAACCTGGGAGGTTACTGGGATTTATAAACATTTTCTTTTTACGCTCAGTATTTTAGCAAACTGCAACACTTCCTGCTGTCACCACCAAGCCACAGTTCAGACAAGAGTCACAGTGCTACCCCTGCCCTACGTCACCCCAAGCACAGCTCGGCCAAGTGAACGTGGAACTGCAGCCAAGGCAAACATTCCAGGGATAGTTTGAGCTGCAGAGCAGACGTGGAGTCTGCTCTCAAAACAGCCAGAGCAGCCATACCCAGCACTGCTGCCCTTCTTGGACCTGCTGTGCTCAAAATGGTTCAGATTTAGCAAGTTTTTACAAACAGTTGAGTCAGTGAGGTGTGGAACACAGAGGAAGTGCTCTTCAGTCAAACTCACTTCTCCACTGGTTTTAAAATACATGTTGTTAAAAGTACAAAAGACTGCACAGGGAATGTGGACAGGAACCAGGAGGAAAGCTTTTCACTGGAGCAGGAAGGAGCTACGTTTCTCTTTGGAAATTTCAGGCACCAGGGCATTAGAAATAGTGCAAGCTCAGTATTTCTCGGGAGCACATATCTGGTGATTTGCTTATGAAGTCAGAGCCATGACAGCAATTTTAAACAACCTGTAACTGTAACACACCCTGAACGAAACAGAAATATAAAATATATGTTTATTGCTACACAACTCTCACGTGTATCTGGCCCAACTGAAAGCCAGAGAGAACGTACCAGGTGACTTATGAATAAAGGGTTGCTTTTTCAACTGATCCACCCACTATTTGACACAAAATGCTCACAGACATGCACAGCACCTGAGGACTGACTACCCTAAAGCACAGGGGCTGTCAACAGCTCTAGTCCTCCAGAACCAGTCCATTTGCCCCAGAACAAATCAAATTAATTAAAATAAAAAACGGAAGTCCTCCCCTGCTCTTACCTCTCGAGCACAGGTGGAATTACCAACTCAGGGCGCATCAGGGCCAGGTTCTGCAGGGCCTGGGCAGCCTCCAGGCTCCCAGTTTTACTGAACATGGCCAGGAGAACGGGCTGGATGATGCACTGCACGAAGTCTGTCACGTCCTGGTCCGTGAGCTTGTGGCTCTCGGGCACCGGGGTCAGCCAGGTCACCTTCTTGTAGCGCTCGCGGTGCAGCCTCCTCACCACCCCGCTGGGCAGCCTCTGCAGCAGCTTCATCAGCTTGTTCTGGGAACACACAAGAAATGCTGGGCAGGGGCTTGGCAGCAGCAGGATCTGAGCCCCTCAGTGCTCAAGAGACAATTAATAACCCAACATCTCAGAATCACACAGCTGCGACACAGGAAAACTCGCAAGAGCTCTGAAATACAACATTTGTCATTAAACTTCACTTCTCAAAATGTCAGTGATTATGCTGCCAGCACTATGCCCTAGGATTTAAAAAAAAAAAAATCAGGAAAAACACAAAGAAAGGACATCCTCAAGAATCAAGATTATTTACCAGCAATTAGGGCACCTTTGAGAGCATTCTCTGCACATTCATGTGTAAGCAAATACAAGTCAGCTCCTCCAGCACTGCTGTCACCAGCCTTGCTGTATTTTCTTCTCTACTTTCTACCAGCTATCACAGGGAGGTTCTTACATTCTCTAGCAGAGAATTCCACTAGTTAAACCATGCTTCAAAGTAGAGATGCATTAAAAATCCTTTTGCCTTGTTTAACAGAATCACAGAACAGTTTGGTTGGAAGGGACCTTAAAGCCCATCCAGTTCCAACCCCCTGCCATGGGAACTTGGAGACAGTGGGTCAGCAACACAAAAGCTACACCATACAAGTAATATTGATGCTGTGCATCAATATCCTTTCAAGTGCTGACTTCTTTTCCTGGCTATACACGAATTAGGTGTGTTGTTTTGGACTTCCAACCTGCAACTAGGTTAGATGTTTGAAGAACATTCCCATTAGCCGTGGTGCTGACATGAAAATAAGAGCACGGTCTGAATGACAGTGTGGTCACAGAGACCTGAATTTTCAAGATCCAAGCAGCACACAGCAGCAGAATCTGGCTGTTGGAGCACATGGGCATTGACCAAGAGGTGTGACAGGCTGAAATGACAGCCAAAGTTATTGTGGCAGCACACAAACACTCACCAGCCAGCGCCCGTTGTTGGAGGGATGGTAGAAAGAGGCAATGCTGTTGAACAGGCCAGACAAGTGCTTCTGCACCAGCTTACTTGGGCCACCCTGGGAGGAATAAACCACAGAACTTTGTGACACAGAACAAGTTCAAATGGACAGCTAACAGCACACAAAGTACAAGCGGAGCACTCTCCCCACGGCAAGACCTCAAAGCATCAAACCCCATCCCACCCTCAGCTCGGCACTAACAGCAAGTTCTCTCCACCCCATCTGCTGAGGTTCACCCTAAAAAGAGGATTCAGGGGTTCAGCAGTTCCCCAGTGTGTCCCCACAGTGGCATTTGCAGCTGCTGTGGAATAAACACTTCCACCTCCATTCCACACTGACAGTGGAACGATGTACTTGAAAACAAAACTTGGGGAAAAAAGACTAACCCCACTCTTTTGCAGCGCACTCAACATCACAAACATTCATCTTAAAAACATACTTAAAGCTTTGCATGGGTTTGTGGTTCCCTTTATGGAGAAGTTTACTCACCATCATGGCTGTGATCCACATGACTGCATGTCCTACGTCGTAAGCATTTGTTAAGAACCTTGGAACAACAACCTGATTGCTCCCCACTGGAAGATTTAAACTCCTCAAAATCCTAGTAAAAATCTGAGAAGGTGAAAAACAAACATTGGCATAAGTTAATTTATGCCATAAAATCAGCATAAAAATAATTTTCTAATCAAAAGGTGTTTGGTGGGTTTGGTTTTTTAAAACCACGTAAGTACCACGAACATGTTTTTAAAAAAAATATAAATCTACAAGCAGAAAGATTCCAAAGGTCATATATATTATTTTATCACAAGAATATGACTAAGGGCCTTCCCACAAGAACATGGGGTTAATTACACATGAGAAATGAGAGCTCTCACCTTTGGTACATACGGATCCCAGTCTATGTACCCGATGTTGTCCGTGGCCAAGCGAGCAAAGAGGTTCACTAGATGCTGAAAATGACCAGAAAAACAGGGAATGTTCATTGGAATATGTGGATAATAACATATCTACTTCACACATGCAAGATAAAAGCTACCCATGGCACAAAAGCACTTGGAAAGGGAGGTTTCACTCCATCAGAACCATCGCTGCCCTAAAATAGCTCCTATGTACAGACATAACAGAAAATCCCCCCAAGGCCTCTGTTCAGCTTTCCCCAATATTGAGCTATTTAGGACTATTTAAGCTCTGCAGGATCCATCCTAATCAACGTGTGCTGGCTGTCACATTTGTGTGCTCTGGTTTAAACACATCTGTGGCTTGCAAAGGTCACAGGCATTAGCTGTCAGCTTCTGTCCAGGAAGAATTAGACACTCCATCACCAGGAGACAGTCCTGTGAATCCCAGGGAACTGAGAGATGTCCTCAGGGAAGAGAATTGTCATGGCTAAACCAGAAAGGAGATGAAGTCTCAACTCCTCTGACCGTGGAAGAGCACATCAAGCAGCAAGTCTCCTTGTAGGAGCTTTGTCCAAGTCAGGACACACCAAATAGGCTCCTGGTGCCTCTTTTAGTATCTTGAAGCCAAAAGGAAGGGCCTGAAAGAATTCTGCCTAATTCAGAGACACACAGGCACAGAGGAACAGGCACCTCTCCATCTGAAGGACACAACAAGCTTTGGAAAACCCCACAAGCCACACCTGACCCAGCCTGAAGACAAGGGTTATGTTTTCTTAAATGACCCACCTCCTTTGCTTGGTATGAGGAAATACCCACTGAAAAACTCCCTGCTCTGCACACAGACAACTGACTCCACAGCTCCCCTTCAAACAGCCACTGTAATTCCTGCCACAGCAAGCTGAGGAAGAGCTTGCAGCACACAGAGGCTTAAATGGGATTGCAGAGTCAGAACTCATGTGTCTAATTATCTGCATCCCAGCCTGATGACGTGAACAAGCCTGACTTTAGGAAGTGGGCAAGACAGCAAAGGAAACAAGAAGTGAAAGCTTGGGGGGGGGGGGAAAGCAAGCAAACTGTCAGCATCCAGTTATCAGAGACAACTTCTGAAAGAGGGCTGAGGATTAGTTGTCAAACTGTTTGACAGAAACAAACCAAATCACGATATTCAAGTGCGGGCTGTCACTGTTCTGTCAGAAACAGAATTAGGATTTCGGGGGGGGGGGGAATGGCCATTAGGAAGATGCAAAAGTTTATACAGGCAACCTCAAACAGAGCTTTGGCATCTCCCATGTTCAAATGTGGACAGTTGCCAACTGCTGGGACCTGGACTGCCTCCCTGGACTTGTGAGGAAACACAGCTGAAGCCAAAACCACCTACGGAATGTGGGACAAAGGCGGCGTTCAGGGGTGGCTTGGGAATCAGCTTTCTCCACGGGCACTGAGAGTTCTCCCGGTGGACATGGGCAGGAGATTAGCAAAAGCAGCCAGATGGTCAATGAGCTTATGTTCATACTGAGTATGGGGAAAAAAACCTGGTGATAGGCCAAGTTTCAGTGTAGCAAAGCCCAGGCACCAACAGCACCTGAGCTGCTGCTGGGGGGCTCAACAGAGAGCCTTTCATGTCTCAAGTTTGCATCCAATCACATGAGACACACAGCAAGGGCACACAGGTACAAGGCAGACTATTTTCCCTGGAAGTTCAAGCCCAAGGGAATTTTTTGGCCAAGGGGAGTCCAGGTTCTTTACTGTATCCCAAATAAAGATGACAGCAACTCATTGCAGCGAGGACAAAACACCGCCACTCAAAATGAGGGACCAGTGATGTGTTAAGATAAAGACAGGACAGAATCATAATTTATAGAAACCACAAGAGCACTTTGAACAATTCCAAGTATCAGCAGGCAGCATTCCCAAGGCTGGAAAGAAAAGCTAGTGTGAGCTAGCCATTAAATAATGTTCATCAAGCACAACTGCAGTCTCATTTATTCAGACAGTAATTGCTTCCTACCAACAATGAAATTATTGTCTCTGCTTTCTTGTACTAGTTAAAGCAGAAGAGAAAAAAATCCATTATATGACTGTTTGGCTTCAATTCCTTGCAAGCACACTGTAGGAATATTTAAATGAGGGTTTCTTCCAGTGTAGGTGAAAGGCAAATACTTACCCCTTCCCACTGGGGAAGATTTTGAACTGACACCCAAAGGCCTATAAATTCATCAAACCAAAGCCTGAAAGAGAATAGAGTCAAAATAACTTTAAAATTGAGAAAGCAGCTCTCACACTGAAAATGTATCCCTCCCTTTGCCAGGTTGCAGGAACTCACCCATCCCTCAACCCCTCCAGCAAGAACAGGGATCAACATGGAATGCTTGTAGCCCTTCGCCTCCCACAGCATCCCTCCACCCCAAGTCTGATCCTGAGTTTCAGTCCTTGCTTTTTTTTTTGTTTTTTAACTTCTCCTCCTCTCAGTCTGTTTTGATCCCCCTTTCACACAGTGGTTTCCTCACCCACCTCAGCTTCGCCATTCAACATCCCAACCCAGGGAAACCAGGTGAGAACAACCCACACCTCATTCCCCTCTGCCTTACACCCTGAAACTTGTCCCTGTTGACCAACAGTCACAAGTGGCATCATCTCCCAGTCTGAGATCCCCCTGAGGCCAAGGAGCAAACCCTCCACGCTCACATTCCCCTTTCCAAACCGCATTCCCTCCCCTCCTGAGGCTGCAGCACACCCAACCCAGTGATCCCTCCCTCCATGCCCCACACAGCCCTTCTGCTGGCTCAGAGTAACAGAATTCCTGTAGAGAATTCCTGCAGTGTCCCAGGACACCCACCTGAAGCCCTTGTGGTGCAGCTCGGGGGGGAGGGTGGTGGGCAGGAAGAGCTCGAAGTAGGTGATTGCCTTCTGCATGGTCACGTCAAAGGGACACATCAAAGGCCTCCACTCATCCAGCATCTCCCCAGTGGCATCTTCTGGGAAATATCTGGAAACCAGGAAACCACTGAACACACACACACTGACTTGGCTTTAAAGTTTGGGTCTGTTTTTAGATGTAATGAAAACCAGCTCCTAATTTGTCAGAAATGTCAGTTTTACAGGAGAACCACGTGCCTGCAACAGCCCTCAGCTCCACAGAGCCTTCACAGAGCAGAGGGAAACCAAGCATCATTTTGGGAACACAAATTGAAGGGTTCTTGTCTTGTTGGACCAGAAAAGGATCTGCACAATGCAAAACCACCCCACTGTGAAGGCTGGACAAAAATCCAGCAACTATGATTCACATCGTAAAAAAGATCATCTAAAGGCACAAGGATCATTTATAGAAACATCACAAGAATGCTGGTTATTTAATTGCTGGTTATTTAATTTAATTAATTTAAATTAAATTTAATTTAAACCAAACCAAATACCTATGCAGTGCAGTATTTTAAATGCACAGCAGATACAGCTGTTTACACAACATAATTATTGCAGCTAAGGCTGTTAAAAAGCTAAAAAAAAAAAAATAGATATTAACCATGAACCAAGCACTTACGGTCTGCAGCTCTTCACAAGTGTTTTCAGGACACTTTCTACAGAACTGAAACGAGAAAGGAAACATTAGGAATAACAAATTACCAAATTTCAGTGGCAGCATAAAACAAACAACCCTTTGCTGACCTTTCCCTGGAGAGCTTAAGATAATGTTGATGCAATTAACTGTCTTCTGTGAACATGCAGCAGCTAATTCCCCTCTGCACAGACCTAATCATAGCAGTTAAAACTGCTCTGCTCAGCTCCTGGCTCTGCTTTTCATGTACTACTCTGGTATTTCCTGCTTTGGAGTGAAGAATTATTATCATTTCTTGTAAGTAACCTCCTGCATTTTATCCATGAACAACCAGCAGAACAAAGGAACTTCTCGGGTGAGTTGAAAACATAAACAGAAAAAATGGGTTTATGGACTTCATGAATCAGATAAATAAAGGCAACAGACTTCAGGAAGTTGTTATTTTTTGGCTCCAAACACCACATCTGACCTTTGCAATGTGGTTTTGGTTTTTGCCCAGGGGTTCTAAGAAAGAGAAGTGAACTGTCTGCAAACCAAGGGTTATTTCATTTGGGTCCCTCACAAGTAACAGCTGATTTTAGAAGTGTTTTCATCCACAGCAAGAACATGATTTGAGAGATCATTTCAACACAAACTGTCACAGGAAAGCATGAAAGCACTTAAGGACTAAATCTCAAAATAATAAAGAATAAAAGGGGAGGGAGCAGAGAGACCAACCAGTGGAACCATAAAGGTAATAAATGGTCACATTCTTCACATCTTCCACTTGTCACACAACCACCTCAAGACTAAATTGCACTTTAATCCAAAAACATTCCCTGAATGAAAAAATAGAAGTTCTGGCAGAACTTCCTACATCTTTTAGATATGCTTTCTGTACCCTGAACAGAAATACTGCATCCTTTAGTTCATCATCCAAAACATACAGAAATGCCATTTTGCTCAGAAAAAGATGATGCCAATGTATCATCTTTATTGCCAACGATCAATTAATTCTGAGACACACAAACACTGAGCATGCACACGCTGCCTCTCCAGTCCTACACAAAATAAACTGATCCCATCCAAGCCAGGAGGAATAAAATATGGATAAACCACTATTTCAGTGCAATCCAGCCAAAGCCCACCCAGCCCTCACAGCACTACTTCAGTTCAAAGAGAGCTCTAGGAGATGCAAAATTAGGGATATTTTAGGCAACAGTGACAAAGTCAAGTCAGGACCTCTCCCAGAAAAGAAAATTTTAAGCTGACTGATAAGTCTAACATTTGGAGAGGAATGACCAACTAAACAAAACAAAAATCAGACCAAAACCTGCAGGAGGCTCAGGAAAATTCCGGGTTCAAGTGAATATTGTCCTTGGACGAGTCAGAAAACAGGTAACAGTTGTTCCAAGAGTAGATAAATAAAGCATGAACCAGCAACATTCCTTAAGAGCATTAAAAATTAACAGGATAAATGTTTGTGTGACAAAACAAACAAGCTCTGCCCGTGCTGTCACACTCCCCTCGAGTGTCACTGAGGAAAACCCGAAGGAGGGGAATTTGAATAAACACAGAAAATCAAGTTTTCAGCCAGATCTCAGCACCTGCCAGTGTGAGAGAGCAAAGGAGAAAGGAGGGGGACATCCCAACCTGGCTTCTGATCCCAAATTTAGGAAGCTGGGAAATAAAAAACAACAGCAAGACGATTTTGTACCCAAGGAGCCTCCACCCAAGAGACAGTCCAGGCACAGCCCAGCTAGAGGAGACATCCTGTAATATTCCCATTTGGGGACTGCTAGTGAGGGAAGGACAGGACAACACAGCTGGGGAGATGTATTAAAAAACACCCAACACCATTTTAAGCCCTGTCATTAGTTATCTTTTTGGCACTGCAGGTTTATTTTCTCCTTTTGGAAAGGGCACGGTGATGTCGATTTGCAAATATGGGGGTTTTTTCCCCTGCACTTTCAAAGAGAAACATGTTTCAGTTAAAATGATTAACATAAAACTGACAGTGTTGACTCATAAAAAAGCAGCAGGAGCATGAATTTCAGTTTTTAGGGAGAGGTTTGGGCTGTAAGGGAAATTCTAGTCCTGAAGTGGACACTCATGACAGAGCTCAAATTAAGACAATTCAAAGAGCAACCAGTCACAGTTTCACAAATTATTTTAGAGAATTCCTACCTGCCATCACTGGATCAGTACAACTGAACCTTTCTTTCTAAAATACCCCAAACAAAGCAATTCCACTGCCACTCACACCAGTTCCCTGCATTTCTCATACACCAAAAATTCCTGATGGTTTCCCTGTAAGAATTCCCGGTAAACTCTTGACACAGAAGCTCTTCACAGCCCCAAGGCTGTGGCTGGGTGGATTTTCCAGCAGCCATGACCTCACTGCTAAAGCACTTTCCATGATTTCACTGGTTTCACAGGAAGGTACATCCACTCCAGAACCTGCTCCTGCACCAGCACTGATTTCACCCCTACCCAGACACAACAATTACTCCAGAGTAAAATCCACCTCTCGTTTGACCCCTGAAATACATTTGCTGGTTGAATGAGTTAAATTAGAGCCTCTGATCAGCCACTTCACCCCCGTTCTCTGGCTCCCCAATTAGAAGATTTCACATCCAGTGCGACATTCTCATCACCAGTGGTGTCGTGTTAAATCCTGGGCTTCCAGAATAACCATTTATGCAGAGAATTCCCCCTCTGTGTGTGCCAAGTGTTACAGTCCAACAGAACATGCAGAAGGTACATCAGCCAGAGCTGAACAACAAAAAAAAGTCTTTCTTACCACCTATGCAAAACATTAAGCACAAATGTTTTAGGTGAGGACCAGCCTGGTCGATATGAACTGAATGTGGGGAAAAAAAAAAATAAAATAGAATTAAAACAAGAGTTAATTTAACAGCTATAAATCAAATCAGCTTTTTTTAAGTATCCCTTGATTTGCACCAAAAAAAAAAAAAAACCTTGAAAAAGGAGGAGCACTGTATGAGAAGGAATCGCACTGCATGGAGTGGGATAAAATCGAGTTAATCAAAGCTGGATGCTGCACACAGACCATCCCAACCCAGACCTTCCTCCCAGCCCAATCTCTCCTTTTCCCTCCTGGAAAAGTTCCCTCCCCACTACCAAGTTTCTCTCACACAGCAAATGAGAAGTGACCCCCAGAGCAAGGTGTGCAGGTGCAAAGATAAAAGCTGAAATAAAAATAAACCAAGGAAGGCTCTGCTCTTTCGCATCCTCACCTACAGCGACCAAAATAATGCAACTGAGCAAAGTGATGTTTCCAGCTACACAGACACCACAGAAATCCAGCCTGAAATGCTCCAGAACAAGTGACAAGGCTTCATATATTTTCTTATCAGCAAAAGGATCTCCCCCTCAGGAACCACTGCTTCAGGATTATTCAAAAAAATTATTTTTTAAAAGCAAATCAAACATTTTCACCTGCATTTCTTCACAGGAAGGTTCAACTCGACCAAACATAATGCATCACCCACGTGCTACCTTTTATAATCTGTGGTTTACAGAGCAGGACTTTCCTAATTAGAATCACTAGGAAAACTGTAAATCCTGGAAATCTGACAGATGGGGAGGGATTGACAGGCAAAGAAAGCGAAGAAAACAAGTCCTCATTTTTCCAATCACCAGAACGTGTCTAAAATTCTTAACTGGGGGGAAAATAAATTATTTCTCCCTCTCATGGCATCTCTGAGTCTATCCATGTATTTTCTACAGAAGGTCCTGTGCATTCCAGGTCCTGGCAGTGATTACAGCACAGATATTTAAGGGCAGTACCATCTCTATTTTTTCCCAAACCCTTATTGTGTTATAGAGTAGCAGAGGTTTAACTTAATATCTGTGCTGGTTTTGACTGGGATAAAGTTAATTCTCTTCACATTCTTCCCTGCCTTTAGCTCAACCCCTGAGTTTTCCCATTTTTCCCCCCCCATCCCGTGAGCCAGTGGCTACGCAGGGCTTAGCTGCCAGCTGGGGTTAAACCATGACAATATTGTTAAATATTCCACATTAAATTTGTTAAAACCTGGGTTACCAGCCCAAAATAAGTTGACCAGGACCCCTGTTCCAGCATATTTAGAAATTCATCTCATTCATAAAGAAACACGATGCCAAACCCAAGCCCCTGGCAGAAGGAGCTCCATGATTCAGTGCAGCCCTGCAGGCAATTATTTGAAATATGCTCATGAAAACACAACCAGAGCATTTCCCACGTATCAAACTCCAGGGATTAGGAGCAAATTACAAAGTGCTTTAAAGCATTACAGGCACTCATGGCCCAGCAAAGGTTTCAAAGGGCGAACTTACTTGGGAAACCAATTTAATCCCAGATGTTCTGTCTTGGAGTACAATATCCTCTCCAGCATTTCGTAAAGCGGTCTCCATGGCAACTCCAAATCATCCCTGGAAAGCAGCTCTTTTTTCCTGGTAGGAAACAGAACACCAAGCACTTCAGGATGAAACGCTCACAGGGAACACCCCAGCCCCTGCTCCCAGCTTGGCACCCGCTGCAGGAAGGCCAGGCAGGAACAAGCTGGCCACTGGCAGCATTCCCAAGGTTTTCCTGACTAAGTGAAGTAAACGTTATGGAGCTGTGAGCCAGCCCTCACCTCCCCCTTGGTTGAGATTAAACCTTAAGACTTGGCTCTCTGAGACGTTTGCTTTTCCTTATAGGGGGAAAAATTCCATTCTTACATTTCCAAAGCGCTCCCAAAGCACAGTGGGAGCTCCTGAGCCCACGGCAGCTGCCCAAGGGGAGGGGAGTGAGGTGACCTGGGCCAGCACACACTGAGCAAGGGCTCAGGGAGTGTCCCCAGGTGGCAGAAAGGTGTCCTTACTTCAGCAGGTTGATGAGCAGCCGTGCAAAGCCCTGCATCATGCTGATCTCCAGCCTGGGGATGGTCACCAACTCATAGAGCAGCTTGATGAACAGCACGTGATCCTCCCGGCTGAACTTCCTCCCGTACAGGCGGATGTACCTGCCGAGCAAACACAGCGTGAGTCAGCGACATTGGGGACATTCCCACCAAGACTGGGGACATTCCCACGTCTGGCTCCTGAGCCAGAGCTCATCTGGCTGGCTGCTCAAGGAAATGAAACTAAAACCTGGCTCCCTGGGCCCAGCAAAGAAGAACCTGGAGGTACACAGCAAGGGAAGATGGGCAGCTGCAGTCACAGGAAGAGAACGAGCAAATAAAGTTTACAGTCCCCTGAGATCCTACAAATGCTGCGACTTCACGGACAGGACACAACCCAGGAGTTAAAATACAACCCAAAAAGTACCAAGTCAAGCCCAAATCCAACAGCTTCCAGTAACAACTGATTTAGACACTGAGTTTTCCTGGTGGTGTGTCCCCACTGCTTCCCTTGTTTTTCCTGATCCCTCAGGAAAAGCTCTGGAAGATGTGTTTGCTCTTTTCAAGTTGAGACTGAAAAGAGAGATATGTTTTAAGTCTTAAAAGATATTCTGCAGCAGCAAAACCTATCTAAGGTTCCAGGGCAGCATTTAACATGTGGCACAACTATAAATTACTACCCACTGGGAGACAACTCTTCATTTTTATTAATGCTCCAACTACTCCTAAAGATCCATAAGAAATCTGCTTTCCACTTCCCTTTTCCCAGTGATTTCCAGAGGGGAATTTTTAAATGTTTACATCTGATGGGCAGTATTTCCACCAATGTTCACTTCAACACGTTGTACTTATTTCAAACAAACCAAATACGGGATATAACCCACTTTCCCACCCCAGGAACCTAAATTATGTGGATTGGCCAGAGACATCCCTACCTACAGAATTACACCACCAACACTTTTCACAAGCCTAAAATGGACATGCAAAAAGAATCCTCAGGAAAAGAAAAATGGGTGAGAGATATATATATATATATATATAAAGAAACTGCAGAAGCCTGGAGAGTAAGTTTTAACTACAAAGAAACACAGAGATCTAATTTATGTGTCAGCTGCTATTTATAACCGAAAATAAAGTGTTTGGCTGGTCCTCCTCCTTGACATTTGCTAACAACAGTTCTGCCACACAAAATGCTGTTTAATTAAGAAACAGAAGAAGGAGTAAAGTGCACAGAAACGTGCTGAACACAGAGATGTCACTGGGCCCAGGCAGCAGGACCAGGTGCCAAATTGCTCCTGTATTTTACTTTATGTGGGAGGGAGACGAAGCTTAAAAGGGTCAATTATTTGTCTTAATCCAGCTGAGCATTAAGGCAATGACAGAAAATAAATACTTCCAGAAAGGGGTGCTTAGCCTTTTCCTCCAAGATTAAATGGGTGAATTCTAACAGAGGGGAACTGGAATATTTGCAGAATATCCCCTCACAAGGGATGAAATAGCCCCATTACTAAATAAAAGAATATAGGCATGGTCATCATATATTTATAAATATATGCTGGCTTTTCAGGATTAAAAAAAATAGTTCATTGGGTTATGGGGGGGGAAATGATTCTAGAACTAAACTGTTGCAAAATAAAAGTAAGATTTCTTACATGAAAGCAGATAATACTACACTGAGACCTGAACTCTTGATTCCACTGCCCTTTTGGTTCCTTTGAGGTTTTATGAGCTCTCAGCCTCTACAAAAAGGGCAAATTAATTGTCCCTCATTGTGCTGGTCCCATGGGTTCTGATTTGGAGAGAGAAAAAACCAACCAACCAAGCAAAAGCCACTCACACAACCTAAAAAAAACACGATTAGGAAGTGAAAACACTGTTTTCAGCTCCATCCCTTCTGTACAGAGTGCAGGGTCTCTGCAGATCACCAAAAAGCCAATTCCCTGATCCAGGAGTGCTGGGTATCCAACCTCTTGCTCCACAAGCACAATAGGCCTATTTTTAGGCAGCGTGCTACGGGATCAAGTGACCACCCTAAAGTGCCCTAGAAAGTTGGCTGCTCTGCTACAGTTAAAAATTCCCCTCACTTAAGCTGGACAGAGCACTCCCCCAAATTCCTGGCTGTCCATTGGCATTTTCCAACACACGAGACAGGACCTTAAAGCTCAGATTTTGACAAATAACATGGAAAACAACAAACCACGCTCAGCAGGACTATTTAAATCACATGCACACAGCACACACATCCCTTATGCATCCAGAGGAAAGCTTCTATTTTTTTTTGACAAAGGTGAGAAAAAAAAAACACCTAAAACAAGAGTTTTAGGCAACAGTGGTTAAAACACTCAGCAGTCCCACTGAGACATTTCCAACCTCACTGTAACTTTGTGTCCTGTCATTCTCACTCCAAACAGCTGAGCTGCATTTTTTTTCCCCACACCTTACAGCAGGACAGTTAAATGTCATTTTGTAGTAAGTCTGTGCCTGACAAGCACAAAAAAATAACATAGTCAGGGACAGAAGCTGTGTCCCTCAGCTTCAAACACCCCTGTCTACCGGAGCAGGAGGCACAGAGAGGCATTTGTGTGTTTTTTCCTGGCTGCAGGGTCAACTCCACGCACAGTAAGTATGAAGTGTTTATATTCTATTAATACGCTCGTTTACTGGCTACGTTCCAAAAATAAATTAAAAAAACTAAACCATCTGTAAAACACGAAAGAGGGGAAAAATTGAAAGTGTGTACTTCTGACCGAGAGACCATGAAAGATTGTGGTGTAAGGCCAGTAAAGCAAATTATTTCGCTGCAACCTGCTCTTCCCACACACGCTGGGGCAAGTTCCACAGCTGGGATTCACCACTTTGCTTTCACAACTGGGGCAGCATTTTACAAGGGACAGCTTTTCCCAGCCAAACCTGGGGCACTCCTGGGGTAATGACTGCACATTTGAGGCCAGTCTTTGAGGCAAGGAGCTTTACCTGCTTCAGAAGCCTCACACCGAGCCATAAATCACTCACTGTCCTCGGAGGAAAGTTCTCTCACCACCCTCCACACACCCCCCCCACCAAAGTTATCACGGCTGAAAATTACCCATAAAAGAATGATGCCAATCAGCTGACAGACATTCCACCTGATAAACTCCAATTCTGACTCTTTTCCCCCCCCCACCCCTCCCCGCTCAGCTCGTGACATCAGCCCAAAACAGCTGCTCTCAAGATAAACATGTGCAAGTCACGTTTCCAGCTGGGGGGGGTGCGTAAGAAACTCTCCCTGGCACCGTGAAATACTACTCAAATTATTAATTCAAAGCAAGAGCCGGGTTTCACTTTCATTCTTTGCTGTGTGGGGCTGGGAGCCCTCGAGGGGGGTGTAACTGTTGCAGGTGTATCATCTGCCCGCCCTTGTTTTCTTGGCCGGGTTGTGTGTTTGTACACACATCACCCTGTTTGTGTTAACATTTGTATCTGCCTGTCTAAACAAGAAACAGATCAAAGGCATTAATTACTTCACAGAACACCGCAGCCATCATGCCACTATGAAGATTCTGAGCTATTTTTTTTTTAATTCATTCATTAACTACAGCTGTCCAGAAGGGAAAAAGGGAGTGATTTGATTTGGAGACGAATCGCCGACTATCGAGAGACAGCAAAACTTGGATTTTATTGTCATTATTCTGTAATTTAATTTAGGTGTGACATCAGGACACCACATGGGTGGAAGTGTTTTATCCAGGCCTAAACTTTCATGGTTTTATTTCACAGAAGGTTTGGGTTGGAAGGGACTTTAAAGCCCATCCAGTGCCACCCCCTGCCACAGGGACACCTTCCACTAGCCCAGGTTGCTCCAAGTCCCATCCAACCTGGCCTTGGACACTTCCAGGGATCCAGGGGCAGCCACAGCTTCTCTGGGCAACCTGTGCCAGGGCCTCCCCACCCTCAGAGGTGATTTTTTCCCCTAATATCTGACCTAACCCTACTCTCTGTCAGTCTGAAGCCATTCCCCTTCGTCCTCTCACTCCAGGCCCTCCTAAAAAGTTCTCTTTCCACCTTTCTTGCAGGCACCCTTTGGGTACTGGAAGGCCAAATTAAGTCATCCCTGGGCCTTCTCCAGGCTGAACAATCCCAGTTCTCTCATCCTTTCATCCCACAGAGGTACTTTCTCAAGCCAAACCAAGCAGCAACACATCCCTCACATTAACTACACCGGCTCATTTTTCACTCCAAGCCCACTGTTTCCTTCCCTGCCCACACCAAACACACTCAGAGCCTCGTTACATCTAATGTGCCACCCAGGGATCTTGGTACTAACAGGCATCAGACAAGCTGCAAACACACACAGTGAACTCCAACTTCAAAGAGTAGGTGGAAAAAACCACAAATTAGAGCCTGCTGACCTCCCTGTGATTCATAAAGCAGCACAGCAGCCGTTCTCAGCGGGCCAAATTCAGTGCCCTGGAGCCTGAAGTGGGAACGGCAATTGTCATTCACAGAGTGAGTAACGGGGTGATTCTAACACAGCCCGGCACACTTTGAAAGGGCTTCTGTGCCTATTCAGCCACAGTTCAATAGTTAAAGCCCATCTTCCTCGCAGTAAGAACTTCCTAAGTTCCTTTTAACTCGAGGGGTACACGTAGCTCTACCACAGGTGCAGGCAACAGGTACCTCTGACCCCAGTGGGAAGCAGCAGATGGCTGGGGAGGGGGGTGGGTGGGAAGGGAAACAGTGTTGAACTGGTTCCAAGCAGGTTCAAACTGTCACAGAACCAAACATGTGAGTCATTTTGCAACCAGCACTGTAATTCTATCTAAGGCTGCCTCTTGGGAAACAGAAAGGCACTTACATTTCAATGCAGTCCTCCCTGCCAGGCTGGGCTGGCAAATGTGTGTGAAATCCCTCGCTAACATCAAAAAAATGGCTCGTGGAAGCAGGGAAGTTTTAAGTGAAGATCTTGAAATGGTATAAAATACAGGTATTCCATCGCTCCCGGCACATAGGAAACACTGGTTATAAAGGCACACACGGCATTCAGCAAAATAACGTGATAAACATCCACAGAAGTTACTGATTGAAGCTCCAGCAGTCACTGTCATATGATGCCACATCCAGTGCCAGGGTGTCCGAAAAGAAAAAGGGCCAAGCACACTTCGTAAAACTCACGAAGAGAAACCTCTGTGTAGCACCGGGTGCTATCTATGAAACCAACGGGGCTTTATCTGTATCAAAACCACCTTCCCAGCATGCACGGCAGAGCCAAAATCAGCATAAACTACACCGAGCCACAGTACAGGCAAGATATCAAGGGCACCAGGGGTGTTTACACAGCATTAAGCCAGAATTTAATCCCGCCAGCACTGACCCAACAAATCGCCCGCCTCGAGAAAGACTCTGTGTAACTTCTGCTGTAAGGGGCACAGAGATGGCACCAACCACAACTTCCCTAAGAAGGCAGGAGGCGAAACAGGTGGCCAAGCAGGAACAAAAAAATATTAAAAACGGCAGAACAAACAAACGCGCGAGCGGCTCAGTTCGTAAAACCGGGGAAGTTTCCGAGCGGCGGGCGAGCTCCCAGGGACGGGGCCACCTTTGTCCCCGTTGGGGATGTGGCAGCGCCGGCGGGCCTGGT